GACTAGAATTAAGATTATTCCATAGAAATTTTAATTCCTCTGTACATTTTTTTGTTTTCCATTTCACCATAAACCCCCAAAAATGAATGCTCTTGAGTTTCCTAACACTCTCTCTCTCTCGCATTTACCAAACCACTACTCAACTTTTGGTGTTATTCCACTATCCCTGAAACCTCCGTTACCGGATTCATACAAACCTCCGACGACAAATCCACCACCGCCGGTGTTTTTCTCCATCTCCGCCATGTAATTCCTAACCTCCGCCTTTATCATCTCCTGCACAACCGTCATAAACTCAGCTCTACGTCCGACGATTGCTTCTTCTCCTCCTCTCTCCTTTACATTGATTTTCATTTGACTCTCAAATCGCGGAAACATCAACGCGATATTGTTGTGGTGGCTCGAACTCGTGTTCTTTGACTCATAATTGACCTCAGCTCCGGGAAGCGACAAGCTCAACGACGTCTCCGGATCTTCCGACGACGAAGATATTTCAATCGGAGCCGGTAACGCGAAACCGCCGGAAAACGGCATTGGCTTGAAAAGCTGAACAGCTACAGGCGGAGACGGCGGAGATGGAATCATGCTTGAGTCACTGACATCGATTCCGGTGGGACTCTCCGGGTTCATGTACAATCCAGTATCCACCGGAGCAGAAACACCACCGTTCGAATCTAAGCTCACAGATCGCCTTTTCTTCGGCCGATCTTGATCTTCCTCCGTGGCCGGAACGAAACTACCATCTTCACCTCCACCTCCGCTGCATTTCCGTTTAAGCGTCGAGTTCCAGTGGTTTTTCACGGCATTATCCGTACGACCGTTGAGAAGACGAGCGATCGTCGCCCATTTGTTACCGAACTTAGCACGAGCAGAGATGATCGTCTCGTCTTCCTCAGGAGAAAACGGCCGGTGCTCGACCTCCGGAGATAACTGATTACACCACCGTAACCGACACGATTTCCCAGATCGACCTGGGATCGATTTGCTAATCGCCGACCAATTCCTCGGTCCGTATTTCTCCACCATCCTCCGTAACTGTTCATCTTCCTCTTGACTCCACGGACCTTTAACCCGATCCGCCATTAGAGAGGAGTTTTATTTTGTTTTGTTTCTTCGGTTTAG